GATGATGTGTACTTTTATTATTCAATGTAGTCGCGTTGAAGATTTGCTCACACCATGTGTAACTACAGTAGTGTGTGTACAATGTAGAGAAATGATTTCCATCTCATTTCGTGAACTTCTCGGCTGCTCTAGTAAATAGCGCAAGGAAATGAGCATCGAAATTGTACGCTCGTCTATAGTAATTGGTAGACAACCTCGACGAACACGTTCATTCCTTTATTGTATACTTCTCATACGATACTGATTTTGTCACGGTCTGTACCAAACAAATAGTCCTTTGTGCGCCGGTAGATCTTCTTTGCGGAATAATGGTCACCGTCTTGTCACAGCAAAGTTTCGGTTCCAACATAAAGTAGAAATATTGTTCTCAACATGTTCATTATTGTTATACATGAAAATAAAAGATTACTATATTTTTCCACTTTAGAACGGTTAAAATACCTCATTAGATTACTGATAATCAAACCAATTAAAGTAGCTATAGTATTAGGTTACACGTCATAGAAGAAAAATACTCGTTTTACGAATTTTGTATGCGCATGTGATAATATACGATACTGCATTACAATTGTGGCTATATACAGACATTGAAAATTTGGAAAATAAAAAAAGAAGAGTTGTCCAAATAAAGCATAACGAGTCGGTACGTGGAAGATCATACCTGGATAAAGGCCAGCACTTAACAATCGTCAAATTCAGTTCACATATGTATATACAGTAAAAACTTCTTACACGGACTGTAATGTCTCCAGCAGAGTAATCTTTGTCCCCTATTATTACCATTTTATCGCGGAGACGTGGGTAGGACACGTACGGTGCGTGTAAAAAAAGAACACAAAATTCGAGTTCGGTGTACAAATGGGTTGATTTGTTGTATTTTCTCTAAACCGGTTTTGTTTTGGTTTATTTTTAGATTCGAGTTTGGAGACACTCATAAAACGTCTTGTACATAATTTTTATTATATTTTTTTTTTCACTCTTATATACTCAAACCGAAAGCATAATGATGGTAAGACACACATTTTGTATCAAGCGTGTTTCGGGTACAATAAAATATACGACTAACGTTGAATGGTTTTTTAACATTATATGATGTGCGGGTCGTAGTCGCGATGATGCCGAATTTCGAGTCCGACAAGCTGACATCACGATTTGTGTGCATACTACAGCTGTATTGTCGTGTCACAGTTTTGTGGTTAATAACTACGAGCCGTTTTTGGTTTTTTTATTTGTGGAGGTCGAGCAATTCTCTATAACGGCTTCACTGTTTTTGAAAATTCGGCAATGTTTAAGCGGCAAACTCATATATATATTCATGTAATACAATTGATATCAAATAAAAGCAGACGATCCGTTTGAAATGCTACATATTATTTCAGGAAAACGTTTGATTAAAAATAATTGCGAAAGATAACTGAGTAAGATTATTTTTCCATTAGCTCGTTTTAATTAGAGGCGTGTCTACGATTATTTGTGGAGGGCAGGTCAATATACAGAATGATAGACGTAGTCTGGGAGTCCAGGAGATCTTAGCCCCCTGAAATTCTGGTAAGTTTATAAATTCTGTCTTCTCAGCTTATAAAATTAATCAATGAAACGTTTTTGACGTCATTAAAAAAATATTTTGTTTTGATTTCATAAGGTTGTTGATCTACAAAACCATACCAACTATACCATGAAAAAAATAGTACACTAATACTTTTATATTTCAACGATGTAACTCGATTTTTATAGTACGTACAAATATTACGACTTACTCTTTCGTAATTAAAATCCAAAATTAACCGCTTTCTAAAAATACATTATTAATGAATTTATTTTTAAACACAGCTAATTAAAGAATTGTTGATTACAGTGTACTCGTGTAGATTCAATTAAAAGAAACAAATGAAACCAAGTAGGTAGATTTTTTACTATTAATATCGCGTCCATATTTTCTGGCTTCCATTTTTCTTCATTTGTATTACTACGTATGATAATCCACACAAATTACATGCCATACCCTCCTATCCTTATCGTTTATGTTATTTTGCTGGCTACTGTCCTTTCTGAACAAGACCCATTTGTCATACGACGTCCTATATCGCAGTCTCAAGATATATAATATAAACACAGCAACAAAAGGGTATGGCAATAACAATATTATTATACAATATATTATGCGCGCACAGAAATGAATCCTACAAGGATTTCGAAAAGATTATGATAAGAGGCATTATAGAAATAAGCTAATATATTACATAGTTATACACTATTACAACACAATTGTGTATATTTTTGCATTTGCAATATATACACTTGGAAGACAAACATAAACTTATAAAACTCACAGAACATCTACACGGAAAATCAATACGTATGTTATATTTTTACAATTCTTGTGTGCCATTTTTGAAATAAATTAAACATTTACAGTGTAACCTTATGACTTTACGGTACGAAAGGTTTATTACGATGAAAACTAATTGTAAAAATAAAATTGTTTATTCTCTAAAAATAAGCCACAACTTTTTTTAAGTATTTTTTTTTTTTTTTTTTAAA